TATTAAAAATATATTATTGAAAAATATTAAAAATATATATTATTAATATTATATTACTTTTTATTTTTAAATATTATTAAAAATATATTATTTTAAAAAATAAAATTCAAATAAAAAATTAAAAACTTACTTTTATTTACTGTTTAATTAAAAAATAAAATATATATTATTAAAAATATATTACTTTTTATTTTTAAATATTATTAAAAATATATTATTTTTTATATATTAAAAATATATTACTTTTAAGAATATATTACTTTCTATATATAATTTAAAAATATATTATTTTATTTTTATATATTATTTAAAATATATTAATTTTTATATTATTAAACAATATATTATTTTATTTTTATATATTATTAGAAATATATTATTTTATTTGTATATATTATTAAAAAAGCATTTATATATAATTTATTAAAAGTATATTATTTTTAGAAAAAGCTTTTATTTATTTTTATGATAAAAATTGATAATGTCATCACATTCCAGTCTTATTCCTTCTGCATACTAAACGCATCAATGACAAAATATGTTTCATTCCATTCTCATAATCATTTCATTTTTCAACTCATTTCATTCCTACGAAATTTCATTCCATCATACCAATCATGCCATAAATTAATTGTCATCTCATGGACAAATAAATACCTTGGAGGGTAGTGGTGTAATTGCACGAAATAATAAAATAAGTGGGTCCCAGCATAATTATCTCCAACAACACTCTCTTCTCTCTCCTCTCTCCTCTCCCATCTCTCTTCGCTCTCTCCCTTCTTACCGTTCGTCTTCCTCCCGACGCCGCCGGCAGCTCACCACAGCCCGGCCACAGTTTGCTAATTCCGGCATGCCACCGCCACCGCAAGGAGCCAGCCGTCATGCTGCCGCCGTCGTCAGTCCCGCTGCTGCCACCAATCGCCGAGTCCGGCAACTCGCCCAGATCTCACGGAGAGGGCACTCATGTCGACGACCACCACAATCGCCGCCGTCGAGTACAACCTCCACATCGCATCCTCCTTTCAACCACCATTCCGCCGTTTCGCCTCATCCGTCCGGCCACAGCAACCTCGCCTCGTCTCCGCCATCCGCCATCTTCTTCCAATCACAGCAACCGGCCCGTCGCCGACACCAGTCACGTCACTACCATCGCCAACGACAACATCCCTCACATCATCGCCTGAAACCACCCTAACCGGCCCACTTCATCTCCGAGAAAAGTTGCAGAGAAGTTGCAGGTCGGGCCGCCGGCAGCGAGAACCACCACTTGCCTGCCGCGCTGGCCATCACACTCCGCCACTCGGCCCTTTGCCGCCACAGCACGTCATTCCAGTAGCAGCAGAAAAGAGAACGCCGTTCCTTATCTAACTGGAATTTGGGGCTTTTTTTTTTTTGAAAATTTGATATGTTATGAGGACTCAATTACAATTTTATAAAATTCAATATATTATAATTCACTTCATGAGTCCAAATTATAATTTATAAGACTTTTAATACTTTCTCATTAATATTACCTAAGTTGCACATTAACTACAATTAATTCCACATTAATGTTATGTAAAGTGCACATTAATATTTTTATCTAAATTTTTATTCATTTTGATTGAAAAAATAGTATTATTATAAAAAATAATATTTTTTATACAGTTTGTTCGGTCTGATCATTTTGATTATTTAAAAAAAAAAAGTTGTTATCGAGCCGAAATAACTAACATTTTAAAGGTAAACATATATAATCGATCCGATATTAAATTCTAACACAAAAAACAAAGTCGGTCGGGTTAAGTCTATATAGTGCAATATGACAGACATTAATGTGCAATCTGTTTAATACTAAAGTGCAATCTAACTGTCGTTAATGTGCAATCAGACTATTACTAATTTGCATTGGAAGTGCAACTATTTTATTACTATTATTATTATATTTTTTTGCAGAAAAACATATTTAGTATTTTTATTTTTTAATTGACATTTTGTATTGCTCTGTACCGAAAAAACAAATTGTGTTTCCGTTTGATTAAAATAAATAAATATATATAGATCACATATGAAAAAATAATAATAATTATGGTCCGGTCGGTTCTGCTATTTTTTTTTTTTCGGTAAATAGAGCCGAACTTGGAATGCAA